ATTTAAAGGGGTCACAAATAACAGAAAAAAGGGACTGTACGTTACAAAGCATGACTCAAACTAGTAGTCTACTATTAGTTCATTATGGTCTAACATAAAGGATTATGGTTCAGGTTAAGTCAAATTATGTTTTTCATTTGTGTAATACTTTTTGCTTTAAGAAGTCAATTGGATTTTTAATTAATTTTGAACTGTCTGATTGCTTATAGATAGGGAAATTTTTACACTGAATAGTGTCTTGGTCTATGCAAAGTTATGGGAAGAAATGTAATGGATATGATTGCAACCCAATGTTTAAAATACTCAAGAAGGTTAATTATTGCAAATTGTAAGAATGCACAAGGTTAAAAAGCATACCTCAAGGATATGGAGCCGTGAATTTTGTGGCAATTCAGCATTTAAAACAGAAGATCTTATGCCAAACTGTCATGTGCACAGAATATGATTAGCATATTGGTAATATTGTGTAAACCCAAAGAATGTTGATCTTAACACACAAGCAAAAACATGGTTTGTCAAAAGGGTTATATTTGCATATTATTCAGCAAAAGAGTAGCTCATAAAGAGAACATCAGATGGATAATGCACAGTGCATTGTTCCAGAATACCCTATGGAAGCCTGCATATTCCTGTCCACAATGTTTTAAAGACTTAACCAACTCGTTTTTCCAACAGAGACCTGAGGTTCACTAGTATCTAGATATTTATCAAATAAACTGCAGTGTTGAGAACACAAGAATTCCAGCAAAGGCACTAGAGTATCTTCTTTCATTTCTTTGATGGCCAGAAGCTATGGTTAGTGTCCAGAAATTCATCAAATAGACTAACATAGGCCATTAGTGGCAATAAAATGTTTGCATCATTCCTTGATGACCTATAATATTTTTGTTAGAAAACCAGGCAAACGACAGCACAAAGATGTTCATTTCAGCATAAGTCAAACAACTATGTTCACATCTGGTGTTGCACTATGAAACAATAAAAATAGAACTAAAGCATTTTAAAAAAGAAATTAAACTTAGTTTTAGTAAACATATATATTATATTGATGCTTGTGTTATCTATTTGTCCATACCTGCTCCAGAAATAACCTTATTCTGAATCCATTGTCAATTGAATTGACAAATATTAACACTTTTTTCTGAACAAGTTCCAACTTTAACAGAGCAAGAAGGTGTAATAGTTTATCACGATCACTGCATGAAATCTGGAAAAGGAAATATACAATTAGAAGGAAAAAAGGCTTCATGTCTCATGCAACTAGACCAATTAAAATAAGCATTTCAGCAAATTTTCCAAAGATAAAACCTAATTATTGGCCATTTTGCTAAAAAGAGAAAGCATCAAATTTTCATAAAGCAAAATATTTTTTTCCATATTGCTCAAGCTGAAGTTGAATCAGGGAAATAACCAATCAAGAAGAAGAAAATTAAATTTCTGCTACAAGTTTAAACAGTGATTCATAAAGCAGGACATTTCTTCATCCAACAATGATGTATCTAATAGTTGAGTCTTACCACGAATTGTTGGACATTCTTTGGAATAATATCATCCTTTGATTGACCTACTTCTGATAATGTCAGGATTACAGGATTATGCAGCACAAGTTTCTTCAATTTCTCCACATCAGAACTGCAAGAGTGTATATATATATGGATAGAAGTCAGTTTAGACAAATTTTATTAAAAATGATGCACTATGATTTCATTGAATATTCATGGTCAATTAACAACACGGCACAATCCAAACCATTTATTATAAACAGTAACTAGATTGTCAACAAGGTGCCAAAGTTATGAATAAGTGGAACCAGCAAAGAAGAGGAATACACAATAACAATATGAGCATAAAAAAGATAAAATAGAAAAACTTCTTCCATGAAAATGTGATTAACATAACTCAGATATTAAAGTCCAAATTACGACAGAACATACCCATCTCCAATGCTTACTCACAACGTTTGAAGCATTACATCGTCCAACAGGGCATGCACATAGAGAACGCTTGATGACATTATTAAATTCGATTTCTTATGTATGAAATAAAACATCTTCTATATTCAGCAGAAACCTTTCCCATTTTAATCAACAAACAAATCATGTTGTCTAAATCGTAAACCTACTCTGTATCAAGAGAGGTTAGGGAAGCAACTTTGCATCAAGTTCATTTTTTCACATTCAACTCAAGATAATTGATTTTTATCACTATTAAGACAAAGCAAATTCAGCTTCTGGAACATGCAACTTTTAGACACATACCTTTTTCAAATAAATTACATACTTCTATAAAACAAACATAGAAACCAACACAATAAATGAGCAGTAAATACAGATACCCTTAAAAGTCAGAAAAGATTTCCAGATGAAGATAAAAAATGAAATAATCAATTACATAGTAGCAAACAATAGATATGAGAAATAAAAGAGAAGTGATTAGACCTTGAAGTTGCAGACATTAAAAGGCACTGACAACGTCTTGGGACATGAGCGATAATAGATTTCAAGTCGTCCTCGTAGCCATATGATAGTAGAAGGTCAGCCTAAGAAAAGCATGAATTAGATCCTACCACTTTGCAAGATAATATCAACATCAAAGTTGTAATTGTAAAACAGTACAAATGAATAAATATGAAATCTGCTGATCCAATCCATACAATTGTTATCTGATTTCTTTTTTTCACCTTCTTTGTGATAGAAACCTTCCTGCACAACCGTGGAAATAACCAGCAAAACATTTGTCTTTTACTGATACAGGATTTTGCATCCTTGTTTCGGTTGTTTATTTCAGTCATATTTTGTATGCAATACAGACAACGATATCTTTGATGTTTATTTTAAAACACAAGGACAGTATATTAACTACAGAAATTTTCAAAAACCAATTAGAGCAAATTAATTTAAAAAAAACTATGAAGGGTGATATAACAAAGTTCACACCTCATCAAGGACCAGCATTGAAAGTGAATCCTTAATAGAAGATGTCTGAAGGGCACCTTTCGCTATGCATGTTGAAATGGAAGCTGGAGTTGAGACCACAATATCAGGTGAACCAGCCAATGCAGTTCTCTGCAAAATGTCAAATAAAAGATCAATAAGCCCAAGACACTGAAAACTGAACCAATCATTAGAATCTCGACACAAAGACACTTTTCTTAAATGGGAATAAACCAACCATATCCATGATGGGCATGCTGGCTGTCAATTGCACAACTCTTAACTGAACTCTACAAAATTCAAGGAGAGATGACGCCTCCAAATAGACCTGAAAAGAAGAAATTCATCACATACAAAAGATACAAATTTCAACAGTGCATAAGCAATGAGGGATAAACCTGTTGGCATAGTTCCCGTGTCGGAACAAGAACGAAAACACTTGGCGCCGACTTTCCCAAACCACTCTCGGAGAAGAGCTTCTGGAGAACGGGAAGAAGGTAAGCAAATGTCTTCCCGGAGCCCGTCTTTGCCCGCGCAACGACATCCTTGCCTTCCTACAAGCAAAGGAGAGGAATCCCAATTTTTACTTCATCAATACTAAATTTGCTCCTTCAAAGAACAGCTTTAAAAACCGATCTTGCCGAATAGCCTGAATAGGGGTGACGCTCACCAGGATCAAAGGGATAGCCTCGCGCTGGATAGGCGTGGCTTTGGCGATGCCCTTCTTCGACAAAGCTCGCGTCAAACGAGGGTCGAGACCCAGTTCTTCGAAGCCAACGTCCTCTTCTTCCTCCTCCTTCCCGTCCGATGGGTTTTCGCGCGCCATCGTCCTGCCGCTCTTAGGGTTTTACAGAAACCGTCGCAAATGCAAAAGGGAGCGGGAGCGAGATAAGAAACCGAGGACGGACCGAGCCGGTTCGACGACATGGCCCGCGATTTTTTTGAGTATTAGTACGACCCGGACCGGTTCATTAATGGACCGCGGCCAAGTCGAGTCTCATCAGGGATCTGAACGACGTGTCCGGTTTGGACTCGATGCTCGTCAAATGGTTCGATTCAGCGAGCCTATGCGATGCGGCAGCTAATCGTAGTTGTTTTTTTTTTTGGGTAATATTAAATATAATACATTAAAATTTTTCCTACTAATTTAAAATAAAATATAATTCAATTACTACAAGAAAAAACTAAACCTTGTGCATCAAACTCGAAGGGGATGTGATGTTTGGGATTTGGGTTCATGGGCTCCCCTGTCCACGGAACAAGTGACAGGACAAAACACAAAGATCTCCACCACCTCACGAGGCTCCTCAAGATTCAACGGATTGCAAGAAGATAAAAGGATTCGTCGTTCATGCAATTTTACGCTACTATCAGTTCTCTTACTGTTTCCTCTATACAGTCGTCCTCAGAGCAGCAGAGCTTCATCATCACGATCACAAGAGCCCCGCAGAGACCGGCTCCAATGGCAGGCCGGTGTTGTCACTGTGCTCGCTGCAACCGTGTCAGGATTCGGCCGGCACTCTCACGTTCGTTTCATGCTGCTCGTCTGCGATGTGTCAGGGGGCATCGCAAAGCATTTTGCAGAGAGAAGATCTGAGCATTCTCAAGCACAGGAACATGGTGATCGTTTTTAATTGTGTAGAATAAGTCTACTGGGAAACATGTCGACGTGCTCAGATCCATGGCTGTTCCTTCGCTTCGCAGACAAAAGAAGAGGACATAGGAATGAAGATGGCAGGATTACAGCTCCTAATTTTTCATCACGACGTAAAAGCAAAGATGGAGTTGGTAGCTGTCTAACCCGAGGAAATAATGACAGAATCTTGTCTTCGATTAAAGTAGAACATTCAGATGCCTCAGATCCACAGCTAAAGCCAGCTTCTCAGCTTCCGAAGATTGAGATCAAACTATATACAACGAAAGAGCAGAGGTCGAAACCAAGATTTATAACGGGAAGAAACAGAGGATCACGCCATCTAAGAACCCTGCATGTGCAAACGAGCCCCACAGCGAAGCTGTGACACAGCTACAAACAAGGAAGCAAACAGGGAGAGCCCTCTGTTAGAATCAAACCAACTCGATTAGATTTGTTCCTTTTTTCTCTCATCAGCTGTGATTATACATCTGGATCTATCAAATCCTAATCCGTTTCTTGAACGACACAGATTGCTACCGTGATTCATAGCAGGGTCAAAGGCAAAAGGAAACAAGAACGGAAAGGAACAGTATTTACTCTCAGGGAAAGGAGAGAACAATGGGGAGACGATGGATCGAGGAAGGGAGAAGCGATCAGTAGTCGGGCATGAGGTGAGAGATCTTCCCCTCCTCGCCGGACATCAGTGCGGTCTGCTCCGTGACCCGAAGCCAGATACAGACAGCGGTAAAACTGAGCACCAAGCTGAGAAGCCCACTGCCGAGGCCAATCCCGACGATGGCGAGCACCGACAGGCCAGCCCCGCGCTTCGGCGGCAGGGGGTACCCGTACAGGTCCCTGTTCCCGTCGAAGGAGCTGGCGTTGAACCTGGGCAGCGCGGCGGCGGCGGCGGCGGCTCCCGCCACCGCCGTCCGGTTGGCTAGCAGCGCAGGTATGGGACCCTCGAGGCGGTTGTAGGAGACGTCGAAGGCGGAGAGGCGGCCGAGGAGGCCGAGCTGGTCGGGTATGAGCCCCGTGAGGATGTTGGCGTGGAGGTCGAGGACGTTGAGGTAGGCGCAGAGCGCGAGCTCGGGGGGAATGGGGCCGGAGAGGCGGTTGGAGGAGAGGTTGAGGACGGCGAGGTTGAGGAGGGAGGAGAGCTCCGAGGGGATGGGACCTGAGAGGGCGTTGGAGGAGAGGTCGAGGGACTGAAGGTTGGTGCAGTTGGCGAGGGACGGGGAGAGGGCGCCGCCGAGGGAGAGGCCCGTCAGGGAGAGCTTGTAGACGCGGCCGTTGTTGCAGGTAACCCCCTCGAGGTAGGAGGTGAAGCCGTTGCAGGGGGCAGCGAAGGTGGCGGCCGTCCAGTTCCGGAGGCTGCCGGTCGGGTCCGTCAGGGAGCTACGCAGGTTGGAGAGGCACGCCTCGTCGTCCGGATCAGAGAGCGCCGACGGCAGGAGGAGAAGTAATGGCAGTAACAACAGGAGTTCCGCCGGCCGAGGTGGTCGCGTCGCCATAAGACAGCGGGGGAAGCAAAGCAAAGCAAACGGGGATAAAGATGCTATATTTTTCTCTCTCTTCTCCGCGTTCGACTCGTCACTGATAAGTATGTTTACTGTTAATCCAAGTAAAAGCTTCGGATCCCAAATAACTTTTCCCATAGAATTCTCTCAACGATAGACAATAACTTATCATCAGTTATCCCCGTGAGTGAAGCAAGAAATAAGATGGAGCATTAATCATCGTAAGTAAAAAGAGGCAGGGAGGACGATAAAAAGCCTGATTCACCCGCAGATGGGCGTACACAGGACTGAGATGATCGTACCAGATTCCGAGAGCAATAGCTCTCGATCAATCACTCCACTCACGACCGTCACTCCCGCTGCATATCCTCCGGTATGGTCACAGATGGATTACAGCGTTCTCAGTCGTTTAGGTGACTCACGTTTCCCGGAGGACCTTCTCCTCTCTCTCTCTCTCTCTCTCCCTCCTCCTGTATCTGTCACTATTGATTGAGGTCGTGGTTTATTAAGGAAGATGGAAGCTTTGTAGGGTGTGACGGAGACGGGAGATTCCCACGCAAATCCTGGGTGATTTGACACCAGATTGGGTGCCGACCAGCCCCAGGTCACGTCCCTTAAATCCGATCAAAGAATTTTCGCGTCAACTAATACTAGATTTTTTGTCGGCTCGGATTATTATATATCATTACATAAATGATATATCTTAAGTTCTATTCTTATTTATTATTTAATATAATAATTTCAGTAAAAAAAAATCGATATGCTTGGTGGGTCCCACCTAACGAACTTCCATAGCGCCCAATACTTCTCCGCCTCTCCACTTACGGTCTTCCTCGTTTCCACTTGCTGCACTGCTAGAGAGATGCCTGCAATTGAGAGAAGGCTTAGAAGTCTAACACAGTTTAAACAGTCAGAAATTAAAGAAGGGAAACAATCGGTGGACATGTACACGAATAACGTGATACTACTTACTGCAGTTCCCGATTCCATCTTCTTCCATGAAGCTTTAGAAGCAAAGAAAGGATGCGTTTGACATGCCAATGAGACTTATTAGCTTAAAGCGGGCTGGATATCATATGCGTCCGTTCTGTATGTGAATCTCGATCCACGTTTCACCATACAAGTCTGCAGATGGCTCTATATATGTCATCTTCATCGAGCCATGAGACCAAAGTTCTCATGAACCCAAGTATAATAATGTTCAGAATGGCCTGACTGCTAACCATTCTGCTATGAACCACTGCAGTATGTGCGCACTTCATGTGTCATCCCATACACTCGAGATAGCTGATGTGAAACAATAGAGAAACTTACATAAGAATATTACAGTCTTGAAACTATATATATACACAAACAATTATTACGTATATTATCCATAGTCCCAACCCCAGATTGGAATAAGATTGATTTAAGGTTGGGTTAGAGCTACAATGCGGAAAAGTGTTCCACCTGCTCGGCGATCGCAGACGACACTCGCGTACGGTTCTACTGACATCTTTGCTCCATTTATGAACCCCTTCTGGAGGAACAGTTGGTAGGGACGAACATGACGCAAACGTTGATGCTTCAACTGTTACCAAAATATACTCTTCTGGATCTACATGATCAACGACAACACCGATCCTCTTCGGAAAAGAAAAGCCAACAAAGTCGATGTATCTGTGCCCTGCCCCACTCGCAGCATCTGTCCCATACGTACCAAAAACCATGAGAAGCTTCGACTGTTTCATCACAGTAAAAGCATGTAGAAGCTTCAACAGTTCAGCTTAGAGTAAAAGCTCTCTCGCATCCATGACTTGCATCTGACCCTGATGTCTGCTACATGTTGCAGAAGATCATGGCGGGGAATCAAAGCCATGAAGGCCGGAGATGGAGAAGATTCCTTCCTCTCTTTGGTGCGAAACCACGAGCATGCATGCATTCCCAGAGAGTCAAGATGTGAACAACACTAAATGCCTAATTGTTTTGGTTGAAACGATATTAGTATGTATACCAAGATCAAATCATAAGCTCTTTCTTCTTCTTTCTCTCAACGAATCCATAGCCAAAGTCAATAAAAATATCGGATTTATGTCAACGAATTCAGGATTTCGTGGGCTTCAAAGATCGTATCAGGAACTTGCAGCGATAGAATCGGCCCAAGATTCGATCTTTCCGCAGTTTCCTTGGTTTTGAGCGTCGAGTATGGAGAATAGGTTATAGGTTTGTGGATCAAAGGCAGAGTAGAAGAAAACGGACGACGTCGACGGGAAGCACGACGCCGGCGCGAGTATTTATAAGGCTGAGAGCGACGCTTTATATGTGTGTGTGATTTTTCTAAAACAAGTTTGAGAATTTTTTATTTTTTTAAAAATGACCAAAGTTTGTGAATTTTCTCAAAAAATTTTGAGAATTTTTTATAACACTTTGAAAATTTCTTAGGTAGCATAGTATTTTAAAAAATGATCATCATGTCCCTATTGACCATCACCCTCTATCCTTTGATCAATTCCTCGTCATGCCTTAGTTCAAATGATCATCCGACCTATCCAACAATAAATGTACAGTAACCCTTAAGATGAAGGCACAACCTTTGTGGTTAATGATAAAGGGTATAGGCGAGGGCAAGTCACCTTCTATCTTCCTCACTTGTGATTAACAGTAATGAAGGGACACGAGGAGACCATGTCGATAAAGTAGAAGTACAAGAAGGCTCTGTGGTCTCTCCGTGGCCAATGACAAAAGTGCAATAGAAAACCCTCGTGCAAGGGTTGAGAGACGACCAAGGTTGCGGGTGACAATGGCTCTCCCTCTCACAAGAGTTGTAGAAATCCACGACGAGCCCTTGTACGAGGGCTGCATGTAGCGATAGGTTTAAGAAAAATATAATTTATTAAATTTACTAGGGGTAATCTTTTTATGTGATCTTAGGCACTCAGCAAGAATTTTATAAGCTTGGTACGTTATCTAAAAATGTTTCAAATTTAAAAACTTTTTATGAATATATATATATCCTCAACACATGAGATATCCACAGCTCTGCAATTCCTCAACAAAATCTATGATTATTGGGCACTTGAAACCATAATCTCCTAGTCAAACTCCTGATTGTAAGATAGTGAATCATTTTTTAGGCCAATTCTAAATCGATTCAACTGAGACTTTGAGCTCTGTCGAGAAACCTGCGTATAAAAGCTGACCACCTTCATCCCTCACAAAAAAAAGTCAGCTCCTGCACATCCATTTGAAGACTAAACGCCCCATCGAAGTTCATATTTATTGGAGATATGATGGAGGAAATCTACTGAAATCGTGTTGTCGTAATAGGACTTTGAGATCTTGCAACTCCCAGGAGCCACCCCGTCTCTTTTCTTCATGAGACAAGTGAGATTATGTATCCTCCAGCTAAATCTACTACAGCTCTAGCTACTGTATCAAGCAAACACTTTTTCCCTTCAAATATCTTATTGCCATGCTAATACTATCAGTTCTTCTCAGACTAACAATCAGGTCTTAAATTCAATCTATGAACCACAGACATGGTGTGGCATTGCTTGCTACTAGAAAATGATGGATGAAGAAATGAAGTTGACTATGCTTTTCTTGGCGTCGCGCCGAATCATAAATGCCATCTCAGTTGCATTAAGCATAGTACCCCCATCCATGGAAGCCATCAGTTCTTAAAAGCAAATGATGCTCATTGAAGATAGTTTAGTGGTTCTTCCGAAAAGATTCTGCCTGCCTTGTAATTACTAAAGCCTTCTGCAGTCATATATGGTCACTGGTATCATCATCAAAGCAGCAGTACTTTGATGCCATCAATACTTCAAGATATCCTACGATTTCTCTTCCTTATTGCTTAGGTTCAATAAATGATACACAGAGATTTGCGCGGAGAATTGCAAGCCTATAATTTCCACATTTCGTTTGCCCATTGATCCTCTACTTGATACAAGCATTCATATTCAACCTGAGCATGAGGTTTTGGTTGATCTCTCACTGCACTTTCTCTCGCAGCCGCCGGGAATGAGGTTCGAGTATATGCCATCAGGAGAGAGATCATGACATCTTGCTTATGGAGGTGCAATCATAGACCTAAAGCTACATGCGTGCATGCTTCCATGAGATACGCATATAGGCGCGCGCACAGCGTGGAACTGTTCATCAACAGAAGTCGAGAGGAAGGAAGAAGATGATGGGTGTTGGATGTGAGGCAATCCGACACAAGAGCGAGTATGTTGCGTACGGAAGTTGTGCACTGGGGAGGTACGAGAGGCCTGCAAGTTCCACAGTCGTGGGGAGATCCACTTCAATGAAGCTTTAATTTGGGGACCCCCCACCCCCCATGGGACTGGCTTCATATGCTTGGCCACAGGGGGCGGAGCTGTTTGCTCACATGGCCGCCTGCAATGATCAATAAATGAAGATGATGTTTGCTCGGTACTTCCTCCAAGATGCCTCATGAGGAGAATGTGGAACCCTTCCCAAATCAGTGGCTCCCTCAGTTCTGCTCCAGCATCTCATTAATGCCCTCATCCTTTTCGCTCTGTTCATGAGCGTTTCTTCCTTCTTCCTCTCCCAGACATAGCACGTTAATGAGCTTATTAAGCTGCTGGTGGTTCCACATTTCCTGTTCATGATGATTCATCAATTCGGCGATGCAGATTGCCAACGCAAAACTAAAAGAACAGCAAAGCCAGAAGAACCGGGCAAGAGTTCAAACAGAGAAGTACATGAGAACAGCACCAACCATAAAATGCCAAACTACACGCAGAAATCAAACCGAGGCACGAAAACATTATTGTTGTGCTTCTCTGCTGGGAACAAGAGTATCGTTCATCATCATCTCCGATGTAGTCTTCACTCCTCCGATTACCTAAACCGAAGTACCCGTTGGTCTTCCTCGGTGCTCAAATCGATCCACATCTGATCCCAGTAATTCTGTCAACCTGACAGTATATTATGGCATTAGGGAAGTGGTCTCCAGTTCTGCAGCTTCTGTCCTCGCCAAAACTTTTTACTTATCAGCTATATTAGTACTAAGATCATGCAGCGTAGCTCAGTGGTTTAAGTGCAGTACAGTGTCAAGAAATTTCATGTTGTGCATAAATCCACCATGAAACACACTACTTCTGGCCATGTCAATCACGTAAAGGTTAGTGTCATTTCGACAGAAACCTATGCCATACAAAGACCCACCACAGCTGAGTACTTGAGAACATGATTTGAGAATCCAATCCACACAGCCTTTAGAAAAAAATTATGAAGAATGTTGGAAGAGCAAAAGGAGAATGTTAGTGACTGTAATCAATAGGTGTTTGGCAGAGGCCACAGGGTGATATGGTGGTCAAAAGATTAACCTGCATTGGGAACTGCTTTTCATGATGTACTTGGCAAGACCAAAAATAGAGTAACAAAACATCATCTCACACAGTGACATGTTTGTCCTTGAAAACCTCCCCCTCTTTTCCCTGCAAAATCCTCCACCCAGCTGACCCCAAAGTTAGAACAGAACACAAAAGAAACCAACGACATGTGAGGCGAGATTGATCCCACATAGATCATGAATCGCCAATCTCCCTCCCAAACATCTGAAAGAAGAAAAGAGAATCTCCTCACTTTAGCCACTACCACAACAACTTTGCTTTCTTCTCTCTGCTGTGACTCGCGCGCTTTGTCGTCATGGCAGTCTTAAACATCATTCCATGCATCAAAAACAGGCATTTGAGTTATGGAAGCACTTGGCCTCAGCTGCATGTTTGGCATCGATGAGACCAACGGTGTCGGATTGAACTTGGGCGAGGCATTGACATACATCATGGAGAGACCAGTCCGGTCGGGACTCCCTTCTCTGGAACTGCCCAAGCTCGTCACCAGCGACGATTGGTTCGATAGATGGGCATTGCTCAGCTTCTCAGAATCATCAACGCCGTGCACCGAGGTCCCTGCTTCTACTCCCATCAGGCCATGATGTGCTGCCGAGTACGTCATGGGGCTCCGGTAATCACCACCGATCATCATCGGCTCATGATTACGAGGCTCAGAGGATGGCGGTGTGTGCTGCTGCGTGGATTGATAGAGGACTATCTTCCATCCAGCACCAGCACCAGCACCGTTGTCCTCTTCGGCTGGATCTCTACCGGGGTTTCTCCCTGATGAGGCATCTTTCCCTGCTTCGATCGCCTTGTTCTTCCTGGCGAGTTCTCCTGGGAGCAATGTACTACTCGCTATGATCTTCTCTACGTCGTATCTTGTTATATCGAAGTTAGTGACAGCATTCACCCCGCGAAATTTGATCGCCGCAATGTCATAGGCTTCAGCTGCCTCCTCCTGAGTACCTGAAAGTTCACTGGCACCGTGAGAACCTGGGAGCGTTCCACGAAACAACAGGGGCTTCTGGCTCTGAGCAAACATAGAGGTCTGAAGCAACTCCAAGTCCATCTTACCCAACTCAGAGCTACAGAAACTTACTGAAGGTTCCGAGATAAAGATCTTTGTTTCCTGCAACCCTGCCAATTCGAGCTTGCCATCTTCCGTGTTGGTGATGCCTGTAGAAACATAATAATTACAAACGATTAAAGATTCTGAGAGTGTAAAGACATGGATGGTTTCTGTAAGAGTCGGAATTGTACCTCGTTACCCCTCGGTATATCGACGCCCCTCGTGAAAACCCACTGCTTTTTCTGCAAGCAGTAAGATTGGCAAGAGAGTCAGATTCCCCAACGATATAGAAAGAAATGTACATATACTGACGATGCAGAGCACAAACCAGAGGAGGCATACCTTCTCAAGTGGGCAACATACTCCTGCCTGCTCATGTTCTTCATCTCTTCGACCTCGTCTTGATAACTCTCCAACTGCATGAGACCAACAGCATTAGTGATCCGAGTATAGAACAGGTCCGAGTCGATGGATCATACCGGGAAGTTAATATGTGTCGATGGTCCCCAGTACTTCAACGCAGCCAAGTCATAGGCTCTTGCAGCTTTCTCCTCCGTATCATACCCCCCTGAGAGAAGCCACGTTTGGGTGCTTAGTTACAGGCATATTTTGGAGGAAGCCAATAGAAACCAAAGCTGCAAGGGTAAGATGCCAACCTAGATAGACTGTAGCAGAGCATCGCCATGGCATCCCCCACGGTGTAACATGACAAGCCAGGATTCATATAATCGTCAGTCAAGTTCACTTAAAACTCGAGCATTGGCAGTGCAAGAGAGTGGTGTGTACTGTGCATGGTTCTACTAACCTTGCCTCCCTTTTCTCGTCTGGCCTTCTTTCTTGCAGCTGTTGTCCCAAAGATGTGCTTCATATCTACCAGTCCACCTATGCCTGATGCATATTTCGCAACATCGAACTTGTAACTACACAAATCAAACAGCAAGAACATGGATGAAATTAGACCATCGAATGCTGACCTAGTAACACCTCTATACTGAGATGTTCGCTGTCCGAATGTATCAATGGACTTCCTGTGAACTGGCTGCTTCTGGCATTCTTTCCCGGACCGCATCTTTTTCGTTGTATCGAAGGCCATGCGCTCGGTGGTGGAAGAAATCTGTGCAGGAGCTGTGACACAACTAGACTGAGACCCAGGGCTCATGGACAAGCTCAAGGATCGCAACTCCCCAAACCCAACAGCCTCAATGGAGCCGGGGCCGATGCCCCCTTCCTCACCCAATCCGATGTTGCAAGCAGTATAGTTCCTGGCCACCCAATTTTTCAGACTTGGAATGCCATCTTCCACCATCGCTCCCACCTCCATTGGTACCTGATACATTTCATGGCTTGCTGCTAGGCCAGAGCACATACCTTCCTGCAATGGATGCAAGAACAGTTGGTGCTGATGTTGCCGTTGCACTTGCATCTGCTGTCCATGGAGAGCGTCGAGGGAATGGGTTGCATCGCCTTCAGTCTCCGAGTTCTGGTAGTAGTACATGCTGTCCAAGCTCAACGCCATTGCTTCCCTGTCATAGTTCCCACAGTGGCCATGGGACCCCATATTTGGTCCGCCACCTAAGAAATCTTCCAGTTTCGGGGGCGGAGATGCCACTATTCCTTCACCACATCGAAGAAAATGGAAAGGAATCATGTCATGCATTTCTAGAAACCGTGTTTGTTTGTTTGGAAGATCGAAGCAGTGCTTAACAAAGAAAATATTAAATCTTGGAGACAGACCTTGCTGCTGCGATCTGCTGAGGGCTTCCATGATACACAGAGACCCATCAGATTTCAGTGGCATGACCGACAACTGAGAATACAGTCCTCCGCCGTTCTCTCCTTCCCCTCCATAGCAGATCCCAGTGCTGCTCAGCTGAGGAGATAGAAAGAGGCTGCATGGGGCTGCAGAGGAAACACCAGCCGTGGGTGGTTGAGTTTGGTGATGATGGCTCTCATGATTTTGATGATGATGTGGCTCCGAAGACACCTCCATGTTCATGTGAGTGGAGAGAGAGAACCCCAACCAGCTGCTATTCATGGATTTCATCTTCTCCTCGCACTGCTGGCTGCTCTAGGAAGAGGACGATAAATCATTGGACATATTCTAATCACACCCACCCATTTGCTTTCTATCGTTTTAAAAGAAGAAAAAGCAATCTGAAATTTCCAATGCCGAGAAGTGAGAACCTCTCAACTATGACACAAGGATCGCTCGGCCATTACCAAGAAGGAGAGACAGAGAGAGAGAGAGCGAGAGAGAGAGAGAGAGGCACTGGAGGAGAAGACTACAAGTCACTTCAAACCAAAAAGCTGGATCAATACAACCTTATATCGATCCACAGGCCATGCTTGTAGCTTCCCTTCCCTTCCCAACCATCCTCCCTTTTGTATGTTAAGATCCTTAAACCCTGCTAAAAACCTTCGTTAAGGGAGACAGAAATAAGGTAGCATTACACTGGCAACGTTGGCCCGCGCAGCGACCACTAAGAAGGAAAGCTTGAAAGCAACAGAATTAATGGCGAAGAGGGCCTTTCCTTCCCCATGCCTTGTGCGAGAGTTATCAAGGAGGATATTGCCGTGGAAGCCAAAACTAGTTTGGCTACTTACACTGTCTCGTGTATATGAGATAGATTGACAGGGAGGACAACTGTCCAACCAGTCACTTTGGAACAGTACCAGCTCTACATTAGTCTGCAGTGCAATCCAAGGCTGCTGATCAAATCTCCTGTTATGCTCCTGTTCCTATCCAAATGCCTTGCTCATTCAAATCACACAAAGAAAAAGGAAAAGACTGTGAGCGAAACTTGAGGAATGGAAACAGTCCCGAGACGTGGATCGAGCAGAGCAGATACGGATCTTTACACTAACAACTCATACCACCTCCTCATACATACCGTATATTTTTTTTTGCAGTACATGTAGTCAACAGCTGCTTCCAGACAAAGTGGGATGTGGGTCTTCCTCACAAGCTTGATATATTCCGGGAATGATGGGAAAAGGGCCCAAAAGCACGAAAGAAGAGCTTCTCCAGCAGCATAAAGAGCATCAATGAACTCAATCTCTATATAATATAGTAATCTTTAAGACACAAGATATGAGGTTAAACCCTGCAGTGGTATAAAGGCTGCTGACAGATGTTATTGTAATTCGGTAGGACTCATAACGTGACATAATTAGGCCATCATAACCATTTCTTTTCCTCTGGATGCTTAGTTTGATCTTCATTACCCCAGTGAACAAAGATGCCTTGTTCTTTTGGGGATTTCTTGGGTCCCTGCATGCTTTACAGATACCAAACAGTAGCAGTTCATTAGTCGTCATTCGGGGGACCTAAACATAATGCAAGTTGACAGGGCCCATCGATCTTCTAATATACTTGTTAACGAGGAGCAATGAGCATTGTTCTCATCTCCTTTGCTTCCTGATCGATCTCTCGGACCCCAGACCATGTGTTGGATGGTGATGTCATCATGCAGGCTGAGGAGGTTCCATAGGGCTTCTATCAAGGCTTTTTCGGGTGATGCATGCAGATGTGCATGGCCTCCATGGAGACAGATCTTCTAGCGAGAATGATTTGGTATCTGAAAAGTATGTGGAATGAGAATATAATGGGGGAGGACTGAGGGGAAGAGGAAGGGGGTGGGGGGAGTTCTCCAGCATACAGAAATCAACAGCCATGATCCTCCTTCCTCTCTCTTTTCTGATTACTGTAATGATGAGTGCATCCACCAACCATGGTGCCTCCAATCTTGGAGCTAATGTCCCCATCATTCTATGTCCCCTTCCTCTCGCTCTCACCCGTCCTTCTATTGGCAGAGAGAGAGAGAGAGAGAGAGAGAGAGAGAGAGAGAAGGTCCTTTTTTTTTCACCCATGCTCCTCTTTTGGGTCCAAATTTCTCTTCCCTTCTGAGGATGCAAGTCAAACTTGTCATACCATATGAAAACAAGGCAAAAGCTGTGAGAAAGAAAAGAGAGGCAGGATAAGGATCGGACATCCACAGCTAGTCCGAAATAAATTGTGCTACATGGCGCATCTCAGTGTTGGTTGACATTAGCTGCTAACATAAAGCAGGAGGCTGTGATCAGCAGCAGTGTGTGTGTGTTGTGTGTACCAATGTTGGACGCCATTGGTAAGGATGTTTCTGTGCCATGTTTCTTTTTGTATCTGAAACTTGTAGAAACGAAGACTTGCTCTTCCAGAATTTAAATTTGAAATGGCTATGGAGTATCTATAAATAAAAAAGATTACAAAAAAGAAGAGGAAAAGAGGGACAGATTGCATCAATGACTGCAACTGCTAACCTGTGAGGTTTGGTCTTCTTGGTTCCACAAAGGAACAAAGATAGGAACAGATATTTTGATTCATTTTTTGAGGGAAGCATAAAACAACAGTACATAGTCGTTTCCAAATTCTACTGCATAAACAGAGGAATTCCATGAACATGCCATGCCTTAGCCAGTTGATGTTGCTTTCTGATACAGGATCTCTTGGTTCACAGGGTGCAAGATTCCGCAGGTATCAACATGCTGTTCTAAGACTAGACTTGATAAGCTGCAAACTTGCAGAGAGTGACAACTGATTGATAGCATATATACCACTTCTTCTTGAGTCATCACAAGTAAACAAAGCCCAAACAGGCCCTGCTACATACATGTCTGAGAAATCCATTCCGGACTGACTATGCCTTCCTTGACTCTTTTAACCCTTGTTCTCTAACATATGATCTCCGTTGGCCACTTCTCGGGAATCAATAGTTGCAGGGCTTCTGGATGAATTAACAAGGGTAAACATCTAAGCAGATGCGTCCTGAATCGAACATGTAGTTGTTCCCTTGCCTGTTTGATGCGACAAAGCCACGAGGCTATCAATGTTCCCTGACATGAGGTTTTCACGTAGATCAAGATGAGCTCTCTAATCCACCAACAAACATATGTACTGTTCGTTTGGACTGTGGAAGATAAGCCTCCCAATAAAGAATGTTTTGGAAGCTGCCATGCTCGAAAAAGGTAGGATTACTGTTAGGATAAGAACTTTGGACTCGATGGGAGACTTACACTGGCTAATGACAGGCATGGAAAGTTCAAGAAAGTTAGGGTTTCAAAGAACCATACAAACCGATAAAGCCGATGACACACGCACAGTTCAGTTCACTGCTGAGGCCTCTGCCATGCCTTTCCACAGGGGGACCTCATGTTGCATGTGAAGTAGGAAAATGGCCTCAGCTGTGCGTACAAATGGTCTCCGTTGGTATGTGTATACACACGTGCGAGGAGCGGAGACAAAATTGACGGCACCGGCAATGGGTGATGCCATGGTAATGATCTTTACTTGTCCACAGGTGAGACAGATCATTAGAGGAGCAAAGAGAGTCGAGAGAAGCCGATGGTTGGATCCCCAAGTCTTCTCTTCGATCCCCTTCCTTCCAACATAATCTTAGTATCTTATATATATAACTTCGTGATCAATCTAACACTAACACCTCAATCTTTTCATTCAACCTACCAAAAAGTCATTTACTCCAACAACTCTATCTGTATGCTACTTTGCCAAAGCAGTTAGGTGTGGTCTCTCCCCTCCTTTTGCACTGTACCTGTTGCATGCGCAAGCTTGATCATTCCAAAGCAATACTTGGCTTTCACAGCACAAAAGAGATTGTCTCCCATTCTCTTGTCATGCCCGAGAGAGAGAGAGAGAGAGGT